ATTGGGAGTGAAGTTAAGCCTGGGAAGAAGGGAGGGGTGGGGTGAAGGTCTTTTAAGATTTAGTTTTGTTCTTCATTATCCTACTCCAATTTGATTGGTGATAAATTAAACCTTTTTCTCTCCCCAAGTTCAATCTGGTGTGTCAATGACAGTAACTGGTGAGTGACCTCTCCCTGTCCTTATCTGGACCCTCGAGCCTTTCATCATATTCTCTCTCCCCGGTCCAGCCGAGGAGGGGGAGTGATGGAGTGGCTTTGGTGGGCACGTGGCATTTATCCAGGCGAAACCATAGCAACGTGTGTAAAAATTGAAGCTCCTAGACAAGGTTTTGCATATGGAGTGCCTGCACCTTGAAATTCTTAGTTCTTGGGTTGCCTGAAGGATCATTTTCTGCAGCTGCGTGTGAATGGTCTGCCCTGCATCCATGTCTGGAAGAGCCACACAAATTCATCGCTTCTGACAGCACTTTCAGTCCTGTGAGGCTCCAGCAATCAGATTTTGGACAACTGCCTAACTGCTAGTAGTTTTCTGATAGTTATTTAAGAGAAACTGAAAACTTGAAATGATGCTCAAGTTGCATGATTTTGTGGGGATCCTGAGATGTGCTTGCTGTCTCCTAGTGTGCAGACTGATTGAACAAAAGGTCAGTGCACAGAATTTACAGCAGAAACTAAACTAAACAGTGCATCTCTGGGGGGTTTTCCTGTGGATGAACATGTTTTTTTAGGTCTATTGAACATAGAGCAGATGAAAAATTGTTGGACTAACAATTCCGGAGGGCAAATACTCCATCTAGGTACAGCATAAGTGAGTGAAAGCCAACCTCCTGTACACTTTCCTGACAAGAAGTCTTCATGCTGATCTGGAGAAAGGAGCCTCTAGGCACGACAGAAAAGTTGGCTCTTTGTAGTCCATTCAGTCCTCAGTTTTTCTGCTAAGAATGTTGACAGTAAAACTAGTTTATTTTTTGCCAGCTGACATAGCAGCTTTTGTCCACTGGGAACTGGATACAAAACTTTATTCTTCTGAGATAGGCTGTCAGATCTGTATCATCTGAGGGATCTAGGTTGGTGACCATCAAGAGGCAAAGGCTCCATGACCTGTTGCCAGTCTAATGGATCATCCAGCCCTTGTATATCTGAAGCAGCCTAACAGCTTCTAGTGAATGATTTCCCATGCGCTATATAGAAACCACACGTCACCACACCCAGCATCTCTTGCTTTATACTCATAGCTCTTCCTGCAGAAGAGGAATGATTTTTCAGTCATGGCCTTGGAAGAATGACTAGTGACTTAGCTGTGCAAATCAACAAATTGCGTTATCTCAGTCTTACCTTATACCTTGGAGCAAGCTTTAACAACTCCCTCAGTGGTACATCAGAGCCCACCACACCCAGGAGGATGCCATGAGATCTCTTAAAAACAAAGGAGAATCCATTTTCAGAAGCAAAAGTTTGGTAGCTCTCTACCCGAATACACAGTATTGCCTTCCGACTAGACTTTCACATGTTCTCTCTAAGCTTGTACGAATACATTCATTCGAAACCAACACACCTCAAAAAATCTCAAGGTGTTGCTCCAGTGTTTATGGAGAGGACCATGCCTACCCAATACGAGTCAGCATATCTGACTACAATTCAGAAGTAACATAAAATCATGACAACAAGTTTTGAGGGCAAAGCCCTGCATTCAGTACGTATAAATAAGGCAGTCATTCGGAACAGCATGATAACGTGAGCTAACGAAACCAAATGTCAAACACAAAAGTGTTAGCCTAGGCAAAAGCAATGCAGGAAATCTCCATGAAATGGGGAGCTGGTTGTTTAATAAGCATCTGGGGGGCATGATGGAAAAATGACACATTGCAGCGCTGTGCTGATACAGGTTAAGGCCAGTCTCAGGTGGAGGAGGCAGACAAATGTTTGTAGAGCCTGGATGAAGAGTTTATCCCTTGCACAGCAACGTACAGCAATGGTAAGGTACCATCCACCATTTTAAAAGGATGCTGAGAAACTAGAAATGGTACAGAAAAGCATGTCTAAAGGGTTTCAAAACCCAGAGGAAATGCTCTCATCAAAGACAAGTAAATTGTTAAACCTTTTTATCTTCTCAAAATACAGACAGGTTTGACTTTATTGTAGTCTAGAAGATGCTTTCCAGGAGAAGATACCAAAGGGTACAGGCTTTTTAATCTAGCAGAGAAAGCCATTATGACAGGAAGGTGAGACCAGACAAACTGAAAGTGGAATTTAGATACCAGTTCTTAACAGAGAATGAGAGACCAGAATGGAGAGCTCAGGGCTGGATGCTTTCTTCAATGACACTTTTGCCAAACACATGTTACTGGGCTCAGGAAGGACCATCTAGGTGAAATGTAAAGGTCAGCAATAAAACGCACAGACCAGACAAAGTAATGATCTCTTCCAGCCTGGAACTTTATGGGTCTGTGAATTAGGCTAGGTTTGAAAATGGAACGGATAAAACAGGGAGAAGTGTCATATTTAAGGGCTATTTTGAAGAAATAGCATTCAGAGGAAATGACAGACTATCATTTTGTCAGATAAATCATCAGCCGCACATCCTGCCAGAGGTCTACCACAGTCCCCAAGGGCCAGCTTTGCTTTCAGAGACCCATCGGCTTTCAAACCCCGCACAGATCCGCTGCATCCTTTCACCTCTGCAGTCTGGAAGGAGAGCGGAGCCCGTGTTGCACTCACCGTCTCGTTCTTTTTGCTGAAGACTGGCATAGCCACTGTTGTCATGAGCAACAGACTTTGAGCCTGAGATGCAAAGAGCTGCCACAGAACAACAAGCCGTGTGTTAGCAAATGTAATACCACAGATAACCCCAACGAAAGGCACCGGAATTCCCAAGGACCCCAGATGTTGATTGCAATTAGCCACCTCCTTGCCTCCCACACCCCTCTCGAAACAGATGGCAGCGCTCTTCAATGCTCTGTATCCAAGAGGATCGTGGGATGGGTGCTTGCTTGTGTGGGGTGATGAGGATGGGATGAAAGCTAGTGAAATCTGTTGAAGCAGGAGAAATTAAAGAGCTGTTTTAATGAAGAGACAGGAATCTGTAGAAGTGGTGGCACAATTTATACCCACCACGCATTGGGAGTGTAGACATGGGCACTTATGCAACAAGTGTGAAAACCACCAACACAAGGAGCACAGAATAGAGAAAAGCAACACAAATATGAGCAAAATGACAAACAAGATATCATCTATATTGCAAACACATGAATACCACGAATGACAAACACCACACACAAATATTTAAAAGGCACAAATACACACTGCCTATATATACTTCTTACTCAAACATCTAAACTTAGGAAAAACGGAGACAAAATCACGATCCAAACAGATACAACACGGCGAGCTGTCTCTACAGGGGATATAGGACACGCATGTGTCATGGGGTAACAGATGCTCCCAGTACTGCGTAAGACAGATGCTCGAGAAACACACACGAAAGGAGGAAAAACAGGCAAGGCACATGCAAAGAAGTCTCTCAAACATGCCTAGCTATCAAAAGAACCTAATTTCTTGTTGCCAGTAGCATCCGCCTTCCATCTCTCATTGGTCAAGTAGCAAGGCAAGAAATGACCTCCTGCATCCGTTACTTGGAGCCATAAAGGAGCCGGTCAATAATCTATGCAGTTGCTTGATGCAGATTTGAGCCCGGTATCTTAAGTTGGTGGTCTGGATGATTCTGTGTGGAAACTTCCTATTCACAGCAACACTCACACCAACACACAGCAAGTAAACTTCTCCGGCACTTACTGGACGCGTGGAAAAAGAGATCCGGTGAACTAAGCTACAGCACAACACAGACACCCCTACATACTCTGAACCAACAGCACAGCACAGCTCCCCAGTACATCCAACATTTCCTCGCCCCTTCTTGCCAGTGTAAGAGGGCTCCATCAGTGCTGCACCCCCACCCCCTCCAGATGTAGGGGCCAGCTGTGGCTGTGAGTGCTGGCGCTGACACACCAACTGGTACAAGGGAAGCAGCACGCTCACAAAACACAGGGTGCAGTTACCTCCTCAGACTGTGGCAGCTAGTGAGAGATATGGATGAACAGATGAATGAATACATGAATGGATGAATGAACCAAAGATGGGAGAGGCTGAGGTGGAGGAAGGGAAGGGCAAGGCAAGAGGCAAGAAAAGAGACGCAGGAAAAACAAGTGCAGCAAACACATCCCTGTGGCTGCTTTGGGAGGTGTGACCCTGTACACCAGTGCCAGGGCCGGCACGCCTGCTATTAGACTAAACTTCTTGGATAGCATTTCTGGAGGTTTTGCTTAGCACACTAAAGTACCATGACACTAGCTCTCACTTTGCACAGCTCCTGCAGCAGAAGACATCCCCATGTCACCCTCATAGAGCTAGTGTGCCACCACTGCAACCTCAACAGTCAGCCACAGCACAGAGGTGGGGGACTGTCCCTTCCCACAAGAGTCTCCTGAGTACACCTATGCACTATGATGGTGCAAGCCTGGCTGCCTTGGAGGTATTTCTTGGGGTTTGTGTGGTCTTGACTCCGAGCACAGCATTGAGCACTACCATGTATGATCTGGACTGAACATTTCCTGCTACAAAGCTAAGCTCAGTACCCCTAGTTTTACTCCAACTCAGACAGTTCCGGTTTCTCACTGTGGATCTTAAACCCGAAAACTGTGGGTTCTCCCCAGGGCTGTGGCAGACACCCTAAAGCTGGCCAGACTGGAGGAAATAACTTCAGTCCCACAGTGGGAGTGTGTATGGAAACATTCTCAGTGTTTCTAGAAGATTTTTCCCCTCAGTATCAACAGTCCTGAGACCTCACGCTTGTTTCTGGAGGAGGGAAATCTGACTTCTGGTCAGCTCTAGCTGTCACAGTTATGCAGACACTTCTCTGAGGTGAAGAGTCCAGTGTAGGAAAAAACCTTTATCTCCCTGAAAACATAGAAAGCCCCAAAAGAAGAACTGTAACTTTCTCCTTTGGCAATGTAAAAAGGGATGGAGATGGAGACTGAGGAACCTCTTCTATTTGGGGAAGGTTCCTTCAGTGGTGGTCTACTCCTTTGTGCTTCTCATCACTCCTTTGAATTTCAAAGCTGCCTTGGCAACACAACACTGTAATAGCACCTGCTCATGGTCCAAATGTCTTCTCGAAGGGTGGGACTGAAACAAAGCAAGGGGCCTTGGAAATGCTGACTGGTCCTTTGTGATGTGTCCTTTACCCACAGGGCTGAGCACGGGGTTGCTATGGTGATGTTAGGTCTTGCTATCTCAAGGAACAAAAGAGTGAGCCTGCTTCCCAAACTGAGATCTGTATCTCTGAGTGGCAAGCAGTATGCAGTTAGCTACTGGGCTGGAGAAAATAAATCTCTGTGACCTGTATCCTGAGCTGTACGTAATCTTTCCTGTGAATAATCCTTTGGAAGGTAACCTGCTTTCACAGAAGCGCTACTTAAGTCATGCTGTACCTGCGTGATTAGTCCTGGGCTCCTGGGTCACTGCAGACTCAGACCTGAGTCTGCATACATATCTCAGCTCCAGGAGTGAGCAAGAAATATTGTCTGTCTCAGCAGAGCCGGAGACCAATCAGCCAACTCCTGGTTTTACATCAATTTCAGGACTTTATTTAGATACACGTAAGATATTTAGATGGGAAGCTGGGACAAGTGATATGCATAACATACTAGCTGGGTGTCTAGCAGCTTTGCCAGTTTGGCCCATATGCCCTACTGTTTGCTGACTAAAGACTTGTGCTGTAAGTACTTACCGCACTGTCCATGTAGGCTTCAGTCCAAATAATGTCATGGTCGTGGTTGATGACCATAGGACGGCTGAGCACATGCAGGTACTCCATTACATTCTCCTGGACGTCCGCCAGCGTGGAGATCTGAGTGTAGTAGCCTTCACAGAGAAACAGAGATGTGAATCACTCTGCTAATGAGCCTCCACGCAAAGCTAGAAAACTAGATGTCAAAGACACTATCTACACAGATGGTTTATCTGCTCTTTAAAAAAAAGTGCCTTGACTTGCCTTGTATCCACAGGCTTCTGTGGGCACACATTTCTGTGGAAATCTAGAATTTCAAAGCCCTGGCTCTGTTCTTAAAATACTCCACCAATGCTCAAGACCAGAGTCTTGCTATAACCAGAATCATGCCAAGCAGATGTAAAATGTTTCTTTGGGTCTTAGGCAAAACCATCCACTAACCAGGCTGCCTTTGGTCCTGAAGGCCAAACACCTGCAGACAAAGTATTCCATCAGGTTACCCGCTTACCCTGCCCAATTTTACATTAAGCCCAAACTCCCATCTTCTCTTCCAGATTTTTTGCAGCACCCTATGGTTCAGTGCCTAGCTTTACATCCAAGGATGGTGACTACTTCCATCTACTCATTGGAAGCAGAATGTAAAAGTGCAAGTTACCTATTTCCAAGCTTTGTCCCTGCAGATGGACCCGCAACAGTCTAACACTACAACAAGGAGTACAGGGGAAGAATGTCTTCAAGTTGTCAAAAGGTCCTCAAAACAATCTGCTTAACTGGTTAGAAATGCTAACACAATGCAATGTCACGAGGACTCTTGTCCTGCTTGTCACCACATGGAACGGATTGGTTATACTTCGTATAGGACAGAGTATGTTAGATAGGTGGAAAACTTTTGTTATCACTAGGAAAACACTGCCATGTGAAAGGGCTCATGATACAATAAGCTTTGTGATGTGGAAACAGGTCTAGTGTGCTTGAAAACAAGGACTACAAGAGCTATACAATGTTTTGAAACCGAAGAACCAAAGTCAATGAACCTTCTGCAGAGCTCGAGTCTGGTAAGTGAGAATTCAAGTGCAAAGAGCATATTTTTGTTCTCTGGTTACTCAGGAGAATCCATTCTCACATTTTATGGTGAACCAACAGCAGCATGAATTCTCTGTCACTAATCTTATGGCTGAATATGCAGTCTGAAATCCAGGTTTTTGTTTTATCTAACAAAACCTAAAAATGTTACATGTGATTCATAGCGCTAATAGATGAACATCTGAGCCTTGAACATCCCCAGCTTACAGATTCTGCAGGCCAGCAACTGTTGTCTGTCAATTATTTTCAGTAGCAAATGCACCCATGCATTTCATGGTCTGCTGGAGCCACTGCTCAGACAGAAGAGTCGATCTGCTTAGCTAGTCAGCCCCCAATTTCAGTCGTCTTTTCCCTGTTTAAGCAGGATACTGATGTGGCAAGTGTTGCTGACCATCTCCAGACACACTGAGGTCAAGCCATGCCCAAACAGGCAAGACTTTTTTCTTTCCCCTCTCTCTTCCTTTACCCTTGCAGACTCTCACAGGGCTAACTGGACTTTTTAATTGGTCCCAAATGCATAGAGGTGACTCACCTAGTCTGAATGGATGTTCCTATTCATGCCATTTCATGCCAGCTAGAGACAATACTGGTTTTAGGGTGGGATTAATAAGCTGTTCTGGTACTGCAGTGAAACCACTGGCACAAAAAGAATTTGGCCAGGATATAGGGGTTAACCCACAAATCTTGTGAAAAATGCTGTAAAATCTTTAAAGAAGAGATGATCGTTTTACATCTCAGCCTGAAGATGTCAGGCTTTCTGACAGAGGTTTAGACAGATTGTCAAAAGCCAGCAACTAGGACACAATAAGCACAGGGACTTAGGTGGACCACAGCCAGCATGAATCTCGGTCAGAGTGTCCCTTGGCACCGCGACAGGAAAATGTGGTGGCTCAGCACAGAGGACTTGTGTTAGTTGGATGCAGGCACGCTTCCCGTAGACTGGCAGGGTCTGCTTTTTCCTTAGGTTGTCTTCCAACCGAGGGCTCATGGGCCACAGCTGTAGCTGTTCAGCCTTAGAGGGGTCCAGGGCCCCATGGCTGCAGCCCCCGTGTAACGTGTGTGATGGGGATGGGGAACTATTCTCATACAGCACCTTTGTTGTTGCAGGCTATCCATTTCACACTGGGGGCAAAAGTGACCTCCCGTCCAATGAGGTAAGTGAAAACCCGGACCTGGGAACAAGAACGCAAAGATAGAAGAATTAGGCTGTAGAGTGCTACCAAATCCAAATAGCCGAGGTTTGGCATCCTGCTATACGCTGGTGTCAATGCCTATTTCTGGTGCATAGCAATAGCTCTGCCTTCACACAGAGACAGAAGTCTCTTGCTCCATTTGTTTTGCATTTTGTGGGCTGGAACTTCATTTCCAATTACAATAAGCCCAGAAAGCCAAGCAGCATCCGGGATCATCTGAATAACAAGGCAGAAGTGCAAATTCTGTTTGATTTTATGACAGCAGCTCTGCCAGGCACTCAGCAACCACATGCAGAGAGGTTTATAGCTCACAGGAATCCTTTACCCAGGGGAACAGCTGGCCGCATGAATCATTTAGAGAAAGCTTCACCATTTCTCTTGTGTTTGACCAACAACAAAAGAGCCAATCCTGAAATAAACTGCTTTAACTGCCCCACGCTCTGGTCTCTCAGCAGCCTGCTTCTCTCCCTTTGTGCATTGCTGCTAGCTGGGATGAGGTAAACAAATAAATCAGGAGGGTTTAGGATGAGCTGTGGTCTGTTCTGCTTTCACAGCCTGCTCTGCTAGTACAAGCCTGTATTCACAGACCTCAGAGTAAATAGGGCTGCAACGCATCTAGAGAGGTTGTCTGGGCTTTTTTCCTGCCCACCATAAGAACTGGTAATAGCCAAACCTGTCCCGAACAAGACCAATGATAAACAGTCCCAGATGGGATTAAAATATTTGCAAAAGTTTTTTGTTTTTTTTGTTTTTTTTTTTTTAATTTTAAAATACTTAGTCTTTATCATCTTATCAGGAAGATGTTTTGATTGCCCACACCTTTAGAAAACGAAGTGTATGAAAAGAAAAAAAAAATCTTCACCGACCTACAGATATCCATTTGTGATCCTACCACCTCTAAAATCACTGCAGCAGCCTCCTGTCTGGCTGCTTTGTTTTGTGTTTACAGCAGTGTGCACCCCAGTATCGGAGGATGCGAATGCTCAGCTCTGCCCGACATCCTGGCTCATGCTCTTCTATTCCCACCGTGGCAGGAGAGCACTTTTCCTCACCCTTTCTATTTATCACCTCCCAGACAAACCTTCCGATCTGGCCAGTTGTATTTTTCAAACACAGCTTCATAATCCTCCACGGCTCCGTCTGTGATCAGCATGATAGCTTGGTTACACAAGCCTCCTTGACCGGCATCTCTGAACTACAAACGGAGAGGAAGAGCTTTAGTTATCTCAGCACAGGCCGTTTCTGTGTTATTGCAGGGCATTTATTCATGATGGGCCAGATCCTGACTTCCTCTTGCAAATCTCACACTGTGCTCAGAAAGAGCTCCACTTCAATAAGGACTGTGTTTGTACACTGCATATATTTTTTTATTTATACAGCCCTTTCTAGTGCATGTGGGCACAACAGGCTTTACAGAAGTACAATAATGAGAAAATAAGTGCTGTGGAGGAAGGGTGTGATTCCCTCCTGCCTTACATCTTGCACAGTCACAGTAAAACCACTATAGACTGACCATAAACACAGCAATTCTGATCCGACAGCAATAACCGTCGCTTTTTATGGCAAAAAATGTGAGAGAAGGGGGAAATCAGACTCATTATTTCAGGGTAAATCCATCAATCTGCCAAAAAAATAGCAGAGGAAGGCAGGAGCACATGAAAAAAAGAAGGCTACTGCCATCAGAGCTGAAATAGGTTATGAATGTGCCGGATAGAAAGGCCAGGCGCTAATGACAGAGGACGTGTTCGTCATCTGTGCCTAAGTGGTATTTAAGGTAGAGTGGAAGTATTCTGCGACTGGTACAAACGCTGAAGTGCTCCCAAGGACACATGGAGAGGTGTTGAACAGGCGTGCTCTGACAGGCAAGCGAGACTCTGCCCGCTGAGCCAGGACGACCAGCCTTCGAATGCTGCTGACCTGGTGCTCCCGCGCGCAGAGCCCCGCGCCTCTGCCGCCCTCGGGCACACCGGCTCTGGAGAACCGAGTCCCTTACGCAGCACCAACACAGGTGTTGAATTAGCAGCCACCGCAGGAGGAGGCAGACGACATCAAGGCATGGAAATGAGCAGCTGTGTCGCTGCAGCTTCTAGCTCAGGGTCAGTATGCACTGCTTCTTGCACAGCATCTCACTGCTGCTACGCCCCGAGCAAGGAAAAGTCTGAGCAGCAAAGGAGGGCAATGAACCAGATGCAGAGTGAAAAAATATGGAAAGAGGAAGATACGACAACTCTGCACAAGAGATTAATGAGAGGCAGTGGCATGAGATGGAGAGCGTACAGGAGACTAATTGAAGGGTGACTAAGGTTATAACAAGAGCACAGGGTGTGAACTGGGACTGTAGATGTTTTAGGGTTCAATTCACAAGTGCCTTCTGGTTCGGTAATGCTATGTCAGGACAGAAGGCACATGTCTTCACTGGCACAGATGGTACTGTGGTTCCACTGCATATTAACATCATGACCATTGATAGGTGGAAGCCAAGTCCAAGTCCAGATTTCACCACTCCTACAATTATCATTGTGATTGTCCCTTATTACAGAATTACCAGGTTCAGTGCTAGTAACACCATGATGTCTCCTTCCACCACTGTTTATGTTATCGGTCCTGCCTCCTTCAATATTATTCTCAATACCACTGAAGTACCTGTTACTCTACCACAGTAAGCATGGCTTCAACAGTTTCTGAATGACCACACGTATGAACTCTCCCTGTTTCATAATAATCTCACTGCTTATATTACTGACCACAATCAGTGCAGATGATCATGAGAGAGAAGGGTGGTGTAATAGGGTCATTTCTGACCAGCTGTTCTCAGGCAAAACATCCATGTGAATTACTGAATCAGGATGAGGTGGTTGGACACGCTCCTCCTCTTTCATATCACCTGAGCAGCACATTCAGAGGGGAGACAAACTACAGCTCTGCTGCTGTGGTCACGCCAACCCAGCAGTGGGGATCTCCCATGTCTTTCTCTACAGGCTGCCCAGAGGTCTGACATTTCCAGTGGTCCAAAAAGCTTCTACAACTTGTACCATGGAAAAAAAACCCATCAGTGCCAGCTACAGGGCAACTGGAGCTCCAGGAGGGGTCAGAGCACACGTGCCCCCTGCTCAGCTGGGAGACGCAGGGCAAAGGCTGAGGGTGCACAACAGGAACAAGCACAGAATGCTCTTAGGTGCAAACGAAAGGGGAAAAGCAGTTGACAGCTGCGTGGGATTCTGCTGCAGACCATCAGCTAGGAAAAAGACAAGGAATCTCAAGTGAGCTATTCCTAGGACAGAGATCAACTGTGTGCAGATTAGCAGAGAGAACAGCCAGGGTGAGTGTCGTTAGGGAGGCATAGGGTTACGATGGTGCAGGAGATGCTGCCAGAATGAGGTTCAGATCACAGATGTGTGAATCTTGTAATTACAAAAGCAGCTTATTCCAGACTGTTGCCATCTACAATGTTTTGTTTAGACGATTATTAAATTAACACTTAATTAAGGTCAGCCACCATTTCATCAAACTACTTGAGACATCTCTTCGTGTAGATTACTTGAGACCTCATATAATACTGAGACACTGAGACATTAGATGCTGTATCAGAACCAGCAATCTCCTATTTACAGGAGTAGATGACATTTTCAGCAGGGAAGATGACATCATCAGTGTCATAGAAATAGAGATTAAAAGGACAGATTTAGAAAACAAATGAACAAAGGGTAATCCCTGATTTTTAGGTCCTTTTGTGGCTGGCTGCAGCTGTAGCAAGTGATCTGACAGCATTCGCATCAAGCTCTGAGCATAATTCCCTGCTCTGACTGAAGTCTCAGGAACGTGAAAGAAGGGGGGACAAAGAACAAGATGTCCACAGAACAGATGTGGGCTAGAGCTGCAGTCAGTGAATGAGGCCCAGAGCTACGTATTCTCCTGTATAACTTTCGTCAAATTGCCAGGAGTAACAGGCACGATCTAATTAATTCAGGGTCATAGTCTCTTGTACTCCCTTGTTTGCTTGTTGCCATTTACTCTGCAGTTGTAGCCTGGCACAGAGTTACTGGTGAAGCAATAGGAACATCAGCATAGCTCAGTGATGCACAGACACACACGCTGATTATATACACGACTAGCCAGATGAATGAGCAGCCCCTCTCCATCTCCTCCTGCCCCATTCTTATGCAGACCTGCTTCCAGAATTACTGAAAAATCCAACTTAGTGGAAAGTGTCTCATGCGCAGAAAATTAGGAGTAGAGAAGGAAACAGAAAGCCAGTGAAGAAGAAATGAGAGATGGCATTAAACAAAAGGGCATAAACTGGTAAACAGGAAATCCTGACCTTTGCATATCCTGAAAAGTATGCTGCAGAATCCAGGTCCATATAAATGTGAGTGGAATCAAGAAAAGATTTAGAAATGTTCAGACAAGAAGCAAGAAAAGGAGTAGAAAGAATATGTAGCCAGTTGATAAAAAAAACAGAGCGAAATGGTTAGGCAGAAATGCTTTATAGCCTCCATACTTCATCATCAAAAGGACAATATTGTAGTGGCTGGGTACATGCTGAAGTGATAAGAAACAAAGAAAAGAATGAATGAATTACAGGCAAGGTCACAAAACAGTAGGGTTAAAGGAAAAATTAATGGAAAGCGTTTGAATAATGAGCGCCCAGCAGGAAAGGAATGAATTGTAGAAAGTGGTGCTGGACTACTTGCCTCATGGGCTGAGACCTGACTAGGACTGTACGAGATCCCGAAAGATAAAGACGGAATCAGCAGAAAATGTGTGTTACAAGAAAGGAAGAAACCAGATGGGTAAATTGTCCTTAAAGATCTAGCACACTGATAGAAAAATTCGTAATGTGGTCCTCTAGTGCATGTGCAAATGAAATGCTTCCCCACACAGATGAGGCGTGAGAGGCCACAAACTCCTTTGATTGCTCATATCAGCCAATGGGCTCATTTTTGTTATGACACCAGTTTGCTCAAGTTATGCAGAATTTTCATCTCACTGAATTCTAATTTGTTACCAGTATCACCATTTTTTCCACCTATAGCCGTTTTGAAGTGACCTGCTCATAATTAGTCTCAAAATTTATGTCACTTCTGAGTTCAGCAGCGAGCCAAGGTACCATTAAAGCTGCTTGGAATTGAGAAGACATCATTGCAAGGTGGCCCCAGAAAGCAGAACCTGGGGTGAGAAAAGTATCAGTGGATCTCAAGAAAGGAGGACCTGTAAGAGTCACAGATTTTGTGATATCTAATCCTGAAAGATTCATATATAACAAATCTGTGAATATATATATGACTCTCTTCGGATTAGGGCATTTGTTTGCATACATGTATATGTACATACATATATTTAGTGGGTCTATAACAATGTATAAATAACTTTACAATTGATGTACATTGGAAAGGATAGTCAGAGGCTCAGTTACCGGACAGGAGGCTGCATACTGGCTGGAGAGGAGTACCGCAGAGCCAGGTCAGCTGGATAGGAATTAGCAATGTGACAGCGTGGGAAGGAAGGTAACTGTTGCCTTAGGTTGTGTTAATAGGACCACGGTGTGTAAAACAAGGAAGGTAATTATTCTGCTCTGCTTAGCACTTGATAGCTCTCAGCTGCAGCACTTCCATAGTGTTGGGAGCATGGTGTTTCAGGGCAGGCATGCACGCAGCCCAGAGCAGAGAAGCAAATGGAACAAAGGGGTATAAATCCTACAGGAAAAGGGCAAGAGAACAAGACGTGCCAAGCTTGTTGAAACAAAGAAGAGAAGGTAGCAGCGAGATAGACTAAAGCTTGATAAACCAGAAAGGAGCTCAAAAGATAGCACTTGATGCCTAAGAATTTTGAAGCACTTTATAAACGTATGCTTTAAGGGTCATGGTTTCCCTGGGATGCATATTTCATTGAAACCACTTGGTGTGTGGCTAAATTGAAACAGAGAGTTCAAGTGGTTTACTGAGCATGGCAGTGAGGGGCAGGGGAGGCTCTGGCTAACTGTTCTCCTAAAGCTGTTCTGCAGATTGAATCACGGATTAAAATATGCCCCGTCTACCCCAAAATATGATGGCGGAAAACAAAGACGGTGAGAAATCGTGCTGCTCTTCAAGCCCTCTCTGCTACTCATACCTCACTGAGTAGGTCTCTGCTGGGCTATTAATTCTACGAGCAATTGGACTGAGGAAAATTACCAGGGAAATTTTGCAGTCACTTTCATTACGGATATTATTACTGGATGCCTATTGTAATCAGCAAAGCCTGTTTCATCAGCGTGATGTAGCAATTTTCATTTTCATTCTCTTGAGTATGCTCCTGTGAACAATAACAGGACAGTCTGTGAGGAACGACTATCTTTACAAGCTGAGAATGTGAGTTCTGTCTGATGGGAAGGCGGTGGCCGATTCAGCCAAAGTTCCCCCTTCTGCCTGCATGACTGCAGCAGCACAGATTTGTTTCAGGTCACGCTGATGAAAACCATGTCCCTCCCCTATTATGGATACAGATCCAAGAACCTTGAAGACTCAGTTTCAGAGCCCTTAAAGCGTACGAGCACTTGCAGGTGGTACCTTTTCCTTTAAGGAGGTTAGCTGTGGTACGTGCAGAGCCTGGGGTCCTCCAGTTGGTGATATTGAGGCACTCCCTAGACGTGGAGCCAGCCCAGTTTTGGTGCCTGTGCCTGGCATGACCAGCTGCTATTTCAGCTGGGGCAAGCCTCTGCTGTTCTCCACTGAGACCTTCAAAGCTGTGCTGGTTGAGAAAGTCTGCAGCTGGACTGCACTGGGCTTCTTTAATCTATTGTCTCTGTACATAGCCAGTGCTACATTAGATATTAAGAATTTTTTTTTTCCTCTGCTGGAAAAATTGCTTTAATCTGATTTATACAGTGCAGGCCTATATAGGCTCTGGATCTTTGGTGTTAAAGATAGTTAATATTGTCATAAAATGCAAGAATACAGGGAGGTAAATCAGCAGCCATCTAGTCCATATAATTGTTCTAGATTTATATCATTACTGTTTCCCTGTTCATCTCAGTAACTATCTTCCCCCAGAGATTTTGAGCCATTACTACTAGGAGTGCTACCATCCTATTACTGCAATCTCAAGGCTATACCATGCCCTTCTCAGGCTGCTGTTAAAGCCATTATGCTTCTGTTACCACTGCCAGCTCAGCTCAGCTATGACCATCCCTGGGTTCCACTCTGATCACGCTTGCACTGGCACAAATTAGGAACAGCATTACCATAGCCAACAAACTTAAACTTTCAGTTTCTAAAATAAGCAACTGTGGAGAATCTTTCCTGGGGTGTCAATACCTGTAGCACACTACCTTTAACATCGATGCCGTCATTATGGCCTTTAGCATCATACTGTGTACATATTTTTGTCAGCACCAAAGGCATTGGCATTTTTAGGCCAACCCCACTGCAGATGGTTCAGCAAGGAGGTGGGTGTGTTCAGCTGGTTCTTGGTCCTCTTTTTTATTAACATTGCCTAAGAAACAGAGTTAAGTCCTATGTTTGCCTCCAGGATACCAAAGTCCTGACTGTTCACATGAGGCAGTGAGTCATTCACAAATCTTCTCACGGGACATGAGCAGATTGATTAATGCTGCTGTACCTGTGATTTCTTCCCTAAGTGCTGATCCTCAGCAAAGTGACAATGAAATAAATCTGGAGCCTTAGAATAATCTTTCCTGTCTCCATCATCATCTACTTACCCAGGGTCACTAATGACATTATTTATGAGCAGAATTGTTACCCTCAGCTGATCAGTTATATTTTATAAGCTATAACCAAGTTGCCTGGGCGAAGCCTGGTTGTGGGGCTCACTAAGGAAATTCTCCCAACACCACATCCTCACTGGCTCCTGCAGCATTACCCCTGGTTACTCCTCGTGCACCGGGGGAGCAGATCACAGCGCCCGCAACTCCCACAGAAATCGTGAGGCTGACAGCAGGAAGGAATAAAAACTTCATTCCATTGAAATACATGAGATGTAACTGATTTTAGCCCAGCAAGGGCAGCTGGGTCAGCTGTTGGGTCAAGACCTTCTGTGTTATAGCACTGCCCGTGCCCTCCCTCGCCTTGCTCGGCCAGCGGCCAAAATCCTCTTGGCCCATGGTGAGCCAGCACAATGCAGAAATGAGGAGGTGGAGAGGCTGATTTGGTGGGGCCAGCCAAGGAAAAGGAGGAAGGCTACTCCAGCACCCCATCGGTGGGGTCCCCACACCTGCGCAAGTGCTGCTCTGCTGGGCACCCCGCTGCCTGTCCCTGCTGCCCTCCTGAGCAGGGATCAGCAGCCCCAGGGCATCACACACAAACCAACACCTCCCCTGAAGCCAGGTCGCCCTTTTGTAGAAAATTTGGGGCCTGTGAGACCAGCTTATACCTCCTCCCACCTGCAGCACCATGATGGATGTGCTAAGTCGTTAAATGTAGAGGAGAAAGCAGGGGTGGGCAGGGACGCGTGTGCCTGATGCAAGCATCAGCATCGACTCTCTTACCTCTCTCAGAATTTTGAAAGACTCTGTCAAGGCCTTGTTCACAGTCCCCACTCCTTTTGCCTGCAGTTCGTCCACCAGCTGCTTGAAATGCTGGCAAGAAGAGAGGTAAAACAGCAGCGATGAGTTGCAGGCAGGGTGCTGCTTTGGGCCAGGGGAGGAGAGGGTAACCTGGAAAAGTCCGTGCCGTTGGGCGCCCAGTCCTTCACCGCTGCTGGCAGGGCAGTGCAGGACCGTGGTGGACGGAGGTGGGAAAGCAGCTGCTCCTTTGGCAGTGCCATCACGTTGCACCTATGGCCATGGAAGGACTGCATTTCTCAGCCTGGGGGCCGTGAACCATTGGTGGTCCACGAAATATCATGCAAGGGACAAAGCTATTAGAAATTGGACTTTTCCTTACCTACCCCTTCAGGAAAAAAAAACCAACCTGTAGATGCAGGTTTTCCCTTCAGGAAATAAAAAAAAAACCAAACATGTTCATGCAAGAGCAACAGGATTTGGGAAAAAGAAAAGTAGCAGTCAAGCATTCAGATTTTAACCGGCATTGATTTGGTTGTAAATGAAACCCTCAGAGTGCTCTCTGTAGGACAGACAGCGTCCAAAAGGCTAGGGGTTTCTCTGGGAACCGCTGCAGGAGACATCACCCTCTGGAGTCGTAATATGTGACCCAGGGCTGAGCTGGGAAAGAAACTTGGAGAAAGCTGGTTGTTAAAGACATGCAGGAATGTGTTACCTCGGTGGTACTAAGGTAGAGACAAAAAGGAAGAGTAAGAAGAGCTAAAAATACAAGTCAACCCAGAGGGCGGTGGAGCAGCCGGACGCAGGCTGACCACCTCGGGGCTGCTGAGCCCTCCTGGGTCAGAGCAGCAAAGCCCTTCATCAGAGAAAGCTTGCTGGCAACGCACGCTGGCAAAGGCTCAGGCCAGGCTGGGAATGCGTTCACTGGGAAAGGGCTGATTTTTCTCCTTTCTGAGGGCTAAGGATGTGGGGTTTCAAAGACGGAGAGCTTTTGAGCTCTGCGTGGGGTTTTTCGGTAGCAGTCTGGGCCAGGTCTGGCAGCAGTGGTGCAGAGCCTGCTGTGACACAGGGAAGCTGCTTGCTGGCATTTAGCTAGCCAGCTGACCCCATCTCACAGCAGCTTCGTGTAAGCAAAGGCGAACCAAGGACCCACCGCACACCACTGAACGGGTGCTTGTTTCTGAAATGCAGACCCACACACTTCTGGGAGGTGATTGTTTCTGGCCCTGGAGTTTCATGTCGTAGCATCTTAACCCCATGTATTACGTTAAAAGGATTACCTGAAGAACATTGATAGGAGCTGGATACTCACCTCTCTGTTATCTCTGTCTGCTTGGACCAGGATACCCTTAAAACAGGGTTCAATAAAATGAACATAATCATTGTACTGCAAAGAGAAAATGAAAAGAAAGGGGTTGTAACGGGAGAAAATTCTCAAAACGGGTTCACATTATAGGTGGATGTTCAGAAAACAGTATGGAGCATTGTGCCATTTTATACATATTTCCCTTAAGAATTGTTTGTAGTGATCATGGCAAATTACAATTCTGATAAATCTTGTGTTTGTTTAAATAATGCATTAATTGTGTTTTCCTGAGTTATCTCTGGGCATATCTACACATACATACTTACTTTTTTTTCCACTCGCTCTAGAGATTTTCTCCACACTTCATTAGCTTGTGCCCTGCCTTGCTTCTAGCACTATTTGCACATATTTTTGACTTCTGGAGAATTTGTGAATCCCCACTCACCAGCTGAACCTTGCAAGTGGTTTTGTAGCCTGATGCTTGATGCCTCTGACACTCAGCTGAAGGAGAACATATCAAGTTACCACACATCCCCTGAACTGTGGTAGTTATAATTGGATGTGTGCTTCTAGTCTGATACATATGGGAGGTAAAACATGCCAGTGTAAACCTTTTCCTGCAAGGTTCAGAAGAGCATAATTCACGAAAGCATGGCTAAGAGGCCACTGACGCTCAGTTGATCAACTGGAGCTCAGGTCAGGCTATAATGTGTCTGAGTCAGCAGGTTCTTGGTGTGAGTAAAGGAATATATAGAATATGCTCTTTCTGGGATTGTTTTTGAAGAACAGATGGTATTTCCAGCTCTTTAATGACTTCCCTCCATTTTTCTGCAAACACTGTTCACTCTTCCATCTATCCAGCCACATAAAGACAGAGCGGTCACCACTAGAGTTTCTAACTCTCTTACACAATAGGAAGCTATCAACAAAAAGTAGACTTTATATCTCAGTGACCGTGCCCTGGCAAACTTTTACAGAAAGGAGCCTGGGGAAAGAGATGGTGCTTGAATTAGCTGTGAAAATTAGGAGGTGAGCAGCCATTTCCCTTTAACCTGGCACCAAATCCCAAATATTGGCATGGATCACAGAAAGGTTTTGCTTTCTGTGGTCAGTGGTGCTAGTTTTCTGTGGGTAACCAGCCCATCTTAATCCTAGCCAGGGATTGAAAAGGGAGAGACCTGACCAAACCCCATGCAGGCCTGTGCAGGTGGACTCTGAACGGGATTGCAGCCTTGCAGGATGCTGGTGCACAAAAAGGCATATGTTGGTATTTTTCTAGCCTGGAAACATTACCCTGAGGATTGTACTGCTACTGAGTCCAAACACAGTGTTGTGCTATGCTATGCTAGGTGAATTTATTAGCTCAGGTCAATGTTAACTCAGGTGTCTCTATACAGCGCTTTGTTACCTGTTGCAGTCACGTCCCTAAGTAAGCAAGAAGATGCAGCTGACATCCTCCACAGAGCAGGGTGAGATGACTTCGCAGCCACCCTGCTGGCCACACGAAGCTGATTTCCCAGGGGTAATTGATTTTAATTCTGCATTCAACATAGGTACTTAGTGTTGTAGTTACACCCCTGTAATGCCTGCATTTTGCTAAGCGGACTGAAGGGTTGGTATGAGGCAAAAGGAAGACAACTCAGCAGTGGAAGTGGCACATACTTACTGCAATGATGTTGACAAAGTCATTTTCTCCCAGAGTATCTAAAATGGTGGTGATGGTGTGTTTGGCAATTGTCATCCGTAGACCCTTCATGCTCCCACTGACGTCCACAACAATGACAATGTCCTTGGGAGAGGTGGCCGCTTGGATGTACCTTTATAAAAAGAAGAATACAAGGAAGCAAGGTGAATGTGCAGGGAGGAGAAACACTGGGTGTGACGCTGTAACCTGATGTGAGCCCCAGCGTAACTTGCACCACAACTACAGCTATCCAGCAGGGTCAGGCTGGGCATCCGATGGGGCTCTTCCCACCAGTCTGCCTCTGCACTGGCCCCATGTCTCATGTCCCTCATCGGCAGGTGCTGGGCCTGCTGCAGGTGTATGCCCAGATTCAGCTGAGACGGACGATTGCTAACGCCTCCTTCAGCCATGCTGAGTGGGCTGAGGAAATGCCCCACATTTCTGGGGTCTGAACGGCCCCATCCCTTTGATTGCAAAATTCTAAGGAGAATGGAACAGAAGGATACATGGTGGCAATTTCCACGTGTTAGATGCCATATGGAAAGCTGGCACTGGCAGGTGGTAGGGCTTTCTAACCTGGTACTGCCTTTGTTTATGTACCACTCGTCTCTTGCAGGAGCAGCATGGGACAGTAACTGCTGATCAGCAGCTCACCAAGGTATCACCTTGGAAAAGAGGGAGAGGAGGACAGGGAGGTGCTTTGGCCAAGTCTCTCCAAAACTCTTACCAGCCACGATTCCTGCAGTCAAAGGAGATAACTCCATTCTCATCTGGTAACCACTTTATTCCTGAAGGGAGTAGCAAAAGGAGCAATCAACACACACAAACAGGCAGGCAACTGCTCCCCGCTGCCCCGGCACCTGCACTTCTGCTGTGCCCGGCTACCCCATGGGGGCACACCAGTCCAGCCAGCAACACCAGCAGCCCTCCTGCAGAAATGCAAGCAGAGCTTCATGGTCTTTCACAGTTCTCAGTAAACTGCTTATTACATTTCTATTAAAAAAAAGTACTTAGGCATAGTCTGTTCGAATTTGGGGAGCAATTGCACATACTTTAAACTTTCTGCCACTTTGATGTAGTTCTCAGCAAGATCTTTTTCTCCCCAAAGGTGGCTGAGAGCATAAAAAAGCAGCAGCAGTGACAGGGACGTGTCCCAGATTCCCTGCTAAAGGCTCTGTTCACAGTCGTCTTTACTCTCCGCTTCCACAACACGTGACAGGTCACAGAACAAGGGCACAAATCCATCTGACGGAGGGGCCACCAGGCAAAGCTTCAGCTACAGAGGATCTCGTGGGTTCCTCCGAGCACGGGGCCTCCCTCTTGCGCAGTGACCTTGCATGCTGGCAAGTGGAGAACGAGCCAGGCTGACCAGCTGCATCTGCCACGTGTGGCCTCGGAGATGGGGAGAGGCTGTGGCCGCTGCTGAAAGCCACAGGGAGCCATCTTGCAGCCTCTGCACCCCCCTGAGAGATTCACAGGTCCTGCCATGGAGTTTGGTGAGCTTTGTGGAGGGCAGTCTGCCTGAGGCACACCCCTGCGATCAGATTTCTCTAGGGCTGCAAGGACAACGTGCCTCAGGGGCTGGTCTGCGGGGGAAAAAAAGGGGTTTTGCCTGCTGTGCGTACTGTTCCTTCAGCCTAAGCAGCAGCAGCCCGTTCACTAAGTATTTTGCTCACTGCACCCTGTCCTTCGGGAAGCCACTCTGCCTGCAAGCTTCCCAAACTGGGCTGTTCCATGGCACGGACGTTGTCCTGCAAGACTATTTGCAATGTGCAGAAAGAGAAAAGCCAGTCTCTGTTCTTTTACCTGGGTAGAGCCTGAAGAACCCAGTGGAGCTGCCAAAGTACTGCCAGGTCAGCGTGGGATCCCTTTCAAAATTGTCCACAAAAATAGGATTCAAGGCTTCTGACATGTAAACGCCATTCAGGATGTCAGGGTCTGTGGGGGAAGCATAGAAAAGGAGGAAAAAAAGTGTGCGAAAGAGGGGAGGACGCTGACGACCCCTGATGGAGGAGGAGGCTGGGAACAAAGGCAACCCCAGGATGAATGCAGCCTTGTCCAGCTTTGACGTTGGGCAGGGAACTGGATGCACCATTCCAGTAAATCTTGGAGGGCAGGTCAGCACTGGCCCTACAGGTGATCTCAGCTTGATCACATGGTATTATCCCCATTACCACTCCCAGCCTTGTCTGCCCGGAGGCATTACGTCTTGTTGGAAGAGGGCTCCAGCAGACCCAGGAAAACCAGTACTGTGCTGAGCAGAACTGGCACACCACACAGGCAGGACTCAGCTGCTGCATAAGAGAGGATGCGTGGCTGTTGTAAGGCAACTGCCTGATGCACCACTAAGTGGAACAGCCTTTCTACAACGAGTGTTTAAATTTATGCTAGACGTAATTACCTAAGACAGAGGAGCTCTAGGATTTACATGCCGTTTCTCTCTCCTCCCGAACAGTTCTTCCTTTTCTGCTTTGCCTCTCGTTTCTTTCACAAAGCCTGAGCTGTCCTCCCTCACCCCTGAACTCATCAGAATCAATAGGAAGCTGTAGACTTGCAAGAAGTCGTAAGAGGCAGTGTATATTCGGTGTATGTGTTGACTCATTGCCTCAGGAGACCAAACAGAGCAGCAGCAATAGAAACAGGGAATTATAAGAAACTGGTCATTGTAGGATTAACTGTTTTAATGTTGAAAGGGATGGGGCTTTGACCTACCACTTCCTGTTTGGTCACTTTACTAAAGGCGGTTTTGGTCAAAAGAGGTGGAAAATTGAAAGGTGACTCCTCAGCAATGAAGCCAAAGTAACACATGCGGGAAGGGAGCCAGGAAAGCTGTGAAGAGCCAGGGTTGCTGCTGTTTGCAAGAGAGGGAGTGAGTACTGCCGGGCTCTGCTCCCGGGAGGAGCCCCGGTGTGGGAGCGTCCTCCTCCTCCTCCTCCATCTCCTGCTCCTCCAGCCAAAGCCAAAGCAGCTGGACAGTTTGTGTCAAGCTGTACATGCGAGAAATCAGCTAGCTGGGCAGTGCCTCTCTGCTCTCTCTGACAGCGGCCGTTTGGCCACCCGTTTCTGTATGCCACTGCAGGCAGCAGCCTACTTCGTGTGTCTCTGCTGCAGCCACCCACAGCCAGCTCTGCTGGTGGCTGCATTGTGAGCAAGGTTTTAGTGTCTGGGGCTGTCAGACCAGATGGAATTAATTTAAAATCGTGGGAGAAACAGAACTTCCTCTGTTGTCCCTCTAAATAACATCGCAGTTGAGCACAGTCACCAGCGCCTGTCCCATCCAGTCTTGTAAATGTAAATGAACTCCATCTAAAAGAGAAGAAATGGTGTTTTTTTTTCTTGCCAAAACATATGGAAGGACAAGAGCTGATGGGGAGGCAAGGAAGGAGCCAGCTTGGGCAACTTTCAATGTTGGAAAAGAGGAGCAGTAAACTTAGGACAATCGCAACTGGTGTCTCAGCCTGCAGATTTGGCAGTGTGCTGACCAGCCTGGAGATGGACCAGTTTCTGGTGTGTAGCTGGAGTTGGGTGAATGTGCAGAGTGAGGGGACACAGTGAAGGCACAGATAAGGCCATGTAAGCCTTGGTGCCTCCCTGGGCTCCTGCAGCAGCTGAAGTGCAAAGGCTTGCTGGGAACGGAAAGTATCCCAGAACTGTCATGTCCCCATAGCAGTTTTGAATTACCCCCAAGTCCCATATGGATATGCTTCCTGGGAATTCAGACTGTCCCCCTGAGGTATTAGTACCTCATAACACAAAGATACTTGGGGTCTAAATTCTCAGCTGAAGTCAATGAGATCCCTGACACCTGAAGACCTTGATAGATCTGACCCTTGTACAGAGCAACAATTGCCGATAAATTTACATCACAGTTTGTTCCACAGCATCTTTGGTTGGGTAGATGAACCCTAGGAGACTATACTGCCTGCATAAGATGGAGGACTGTCCATCACTAGAAGTCTTCCAAGAGGAGATTATACCTAAGCCCTGCCGCAGTGACAGATGACAGGACAGACACAACCGTGCCTTGGTACAGTACCTTTCCAGCCCTGTTTTCTGTCATTTGTTTTTTTCTATTCCCATCCTTTCTTTCAGCATTATTACTGGTAGTTTCCACAGCAACTGACTAGTAGTGAGAAAGTAGAGGCCAGCAGAGGCCATTACCTTTGTTGTAGACATTGGTGGGGAGCTGGATATCACTGTATGTTGTGTTCACTAGTAGGTTATTGAAATGCTCGTTTGGCTCCAAAATGAATTCATCTCCAAGCTCCACATAATTGTCATTTTCATCCTTCTCATTAATCAGGAGAGAGTTGTAGTAATCAAACTGTTGATGAAGACAATGGAAAAGAGAAAGGCAAAAAGAGAGAATAAGACAGACTATTACCAGTACTGTCTGAAAAACACACTCTTTGAAACATAAAAAAAAGGGACATCTGGAGAACTTGGGCTTCAGATAGGATCAAGATAGGCAGCAAACAAGAGCCATTACCAACTGAAAAGTGTCAAGCTGCCCAAACGATGGTTTCTGCCCAGTGTCGTCTTGTCAGGTGCCCACATGACTGAAAACATGGTCATAACCGGCAGCAGAAGAGCCACCTGAGATAAAAGGGACATGGTGGCAGACTCACCTGGTCCCTCAGAGGTATTTAAGTGACTAGCCAGAGAGATGGAAGTGTCTCACTGGGTGTAACTCCCAGATTTGCTACAGGGCATGCCAATGCTGACCTTACTTGCCCTGTCTCTACAGCTGTCATTTACTAGAGTTAACTCCTGATGTACATCCAGCCAGGATTATCCTCTCACTGTCACTCCAAGCAACAGGCACTAGTCAAGCAGAAAGGATAGAGCAGAAGCTGCTCAAAGACAATGTCGTTTTCTCTGTGTGAAGGCCACTGGGGATTTAGCATCTACAGCCATTTTAGTATTTTCAGGACACTCTTCACCCTTGGATAACAGATGTTTTCAAGATGTTTTTGTTGACTTTTTCTGAGGACAGAGGTTATTTAAGGATTTATGTTCACGCACTAACAGTACTCAGGGGGTGCAAATTGTGTGTGTGAACACAGAGTCATGTACCTCAACTCACCCATGACCCTTACTATGAATGCAGCTGACCCAACTAGTATGACTGTAACATGATTCATAAATAAAGAGGTAGGAGAAGTGAAGTTGGTAGCTAGCTCGATTTGGAGATGGGTTTTCATTCCTACCCTTTCCCAGCATGGAGTGTACTTGCAGGGGTAGCCTGTACTTTTGCTAAGCACTCTGTGCATGTATTATGGACAGGGGATTTCCTTCATCAGAGTTTTCACCCCAGTTCCCTTCACCAGCAATAATCCCATAGCTTGTCTACAACAAATAATTATTAACAGAAAGCCAATTATGCAAATTGCTTGGACAGCACCAAACTTTCGCTTATCAGGAGGTCCTGACAGGTGGGTGTCTGCAGGGTGGAGAATAGATGATGGAGCTCTTGAGAAAGATGATGAGAAACTCAGCTCGTTGGGATTAACGGTTTGCTGTGGGTATTTGTAACAACATCCTCCTCACTGCTTCTACACACTCAATTTTTAGCTCATTTTCCAGTCAACTAACCCAGGAAGTGCCAGCTAATTTGCATTAATGTGTCACATAATGACAGCTTTGGTGTGCAGTAAATGTGATACCACTAACATCATGGAACCCCATGTCTTGCCAAATCCTTCGCCTGCTGGAGCCAAAGCGACTAGTCTTGGTGTTACTAGGTTTGGGATCTGCCAAGAGAGTCTCTTTCTTACACTAGTTTCTAGACAAGCTGAGTGTCCTGAAGACAAGGAAACTTCTAACCTGTCCAGGAGCCTGAGGTGGCTGGGTGCTGCTAGGTCTGCCTTTTGGCAGATCTCTCTGAGGATGCATGTCATATTTTGTCACTGACCAGGATAAACTTACCTCGAGTGAGGAGTTGTATTCATGGTTCAGATCTGCTTCTTCTGCTGCTTCCACCAACCTCTAATGCAAGCACACAGAAAGATGAGGGAATGCTGTGGAAAGCCCTCCAGAAGCTCTTCCAACTGTATCAGCCATTCAAACATTAGTGAAAAGACACAAGACTGCCTCCTTCACCACAACACAGAGCCACGGGGCTATAGAATTTCTGTCATTCTGCGCTGCAACTTTACAGCTTGGAAGGTATATTCACAGCTATTTATTGCCAAGTATATTCACACCTACTTACTCCAGAGTCCCTACTAAACCCCTGAGCAATCTTGGATATTGTAGGACATATGCAAACAGAAACATGTCCATTTAGAGAAACACCAGCCAGGGATCTAATTTTATTTTCCATTAATGCTTCCAAAAATCCATGGGAAAAGCATTTCAGACCCAGCCTGATGTCAGTATCTCATCAAAGCAAAAGGCCTTGTAGGAGTCTCAGTCTGGTATTGTTACAGAGACAAAGACCATGACTTGATTTCGTAAAGGGCTCAGCGATGCTGTGATCGTTTATAAGCTCTTACCATTTATGGAAGACAATATAATCAACTAGTATTCTCCAGTAGGCTGCTTCAGGGCACTAATTCTCAATTGGTACAGACTGGGAAGGAATCCAACTAAACATCTACATGTTTTCAGAGTTGCACAGTCAGCGGCAGTCTCGGCAAAACTACTTTTTGCTCCTCCACAAAGGATAAGGCAGTCCAAACATTGGAAAAGTCTGGCTATGAATTTAATGTTACGGGCCAAAGCTCTGGCTCTGAATATGCCCACATTTCACTCTGAGATTCAAATGATGTGTTTCTGGATGACTTTTCCACATTATACGCCTTAAACAGTCAAGGCCCTGTGACTACAGAAATATGCTTTTCATAGTGGGTAAATAGAAGGGAATATGATAGATCCTTAGATGCAAGCAGAGGGGCCATCATGACTACCTGCTCTGATCTCCAACACAGCAACAGCTAAAGACCTCTTGCCACCTCCTCCACACTTCCCCGTGTACACAGCTGGAAATCTGCAGGAATTTCCCTTGAGCCACACACAGCTGAAACAAGCTACTAGTCTTCGATGGCCCAGAGGGCATTTTGCAACGATGAACTTTATTTTCACTTGTGAGGGTTTTTTTCTCTTTAAGCAGCTACAGAATCAAACCTCTTTTCTCCTAAAAGAACGTTCATTCCCTCACGTTTATTCCTAGACTTTGTTTTTATCTTATTTCCTACTTTGGGCTGAAGGAGAAGCCAGCATTCCCTTGTCTGAAAGCCCACATCCTCCCAACAGTGTCTATTTAAAGCTCAGAGTGAGCCAGATGCACCAGCAGGCATTTGTTTGGGCAAGGAAGTCCTCATGCAACCTCTTCGCCCACACACTCCTGGTACAGGCAGGAGGCCTGCATCTACTGCTCCGGGGCTGACAGGAGAAGACTGCAGGACTTCCTTCCCATAGCCTCCGTGGTCATACCTCAACAGCTTCGACCTTCCTGCGGAGCATGCTTTCCATCTGCTCTGAGAACTTCTTCACCAGCTCCAGGCCATCCACCTCTTTGATCTTCAGAGTTGGCTCCACATCTTTGTACTTCTACCCAAGGAAAGCAGAAAATCCTGCTGAGCAGGAGGCTTGTAAGGAGAGGGGTGAATTGATTATTATTAACTGGGTATTGTCTTTGGTGAAGAAAGATGTGTTGAAAGAACTGGTCTGATTTGCCACCTTCTCCCATCTTTGCCTGTCCTCCCTTTTCATCCCATAATTTGGGAGTGTGCAGATCACTGGCCGTAACACAAAGCATTTTGACTAACTGAAAGCAGCTGATCCAAATGTGAGCTCGTGGCTGCTGAAAACAGCAATTTGCCTGAAGCTGTGGGTGCCTACAAATAAGGGAGAGAAGCAGAAGGCTGACTTTTGAAAACCTAAAACACACAGTGTGCATACATCCGCAACAGCATTACACGCATCCCATTCCTGAAATTTCCTGGAGGCAGAGGGATCGGGCAGGGGAACAGAGCTGTGTGCTGTCCTTTGCCTCCTATGTCATATGTGCTGAGGCATTCCTTCTCTGGAGATATTCCAGACCCGCCTGGACAAGGTCCTGTGCAGCCTGCTCTGGGTGACCCTGATTTGGAAGGGGGGTTGGATCAGATGACCCACAGAGGTCCCTGCCAACCCCCACCATTCTGTGATTCTGAGAGACATCATGCTAGCGCATGTCCTGCCATCCCACTGCGCCATCGTATCTGTAGGGTAGCTTGTCAGGTCTGCAGCAAGAAGGATCTACTCAGTGCTTAGGTGGGAGACTGCCAAGGAAAGGTCAGCGAGACAGTTATGGTGCTACTTATTCAGCATGCATGAGCGTGCTTTGGGCCAAGAGCAGCACATTCGCAGAAATTAGGAATTACAAGCACGGCTACTTAGTGCTGCCTCCACTGGGAGGGATGTTGTCATGAGAATGATCTGGATCTGACAGCTTCGGAGATAACCAGTTTCTTCTGACCATGTTTTCTATAATCTAGGTGTTCAAAACCTGAGAGTACTCCCAAACTGGATAACTGTAATCCACCTCCCTACATCCACCCTTTCAAGACTGAATACAATGGCCTCTATTTCTCCTTTTCAAAAATTCCTAAAGCTAACAGAGACAGGCAGAAAGCAAGAAGAACCCCCTGCAAAAGGACACAATTTGATCAGCCTATTTCAGAAAAGACAAAGTTTTATCTCCCTGGCAATGTGGAAGTGCGAAGGCAACCGCCTGAATTTCCCTGGTGCCTCATCATCATTTCTTTCTGCAGCACACACACACCCCCTCCATCTCCATGTTGTACTAACACCACGGCAGCAATCTCAGCCAGGGCTGCACTTCTCGTGCTGGTACAAAATACAGCGGGGAGAAGTAATGGGATGGCAGGGGCTTTAGCTACACTTCTGAATTAGAAGAAAGCGGGGTGGAGATGGACCTTGCATGTCTTTAGGGTGAGCAAGTGGATCTCCTTCTATTCAAGAAGCTTGTTGACCATCCAGACGTGGCTGAACAACAAGCAGAGCAAGAAATGCCTTAAGAGTGGGGCATGCTGGAGGAGGTCAGACAGAAATAGCAGCAGCATCCAGCAGGCATGGCGGGGAGGCTGCTTGCTTTGTCTGGCATGATTAACAGCAAGGGTTTTACTGGATTAAAGCCGCCAGGCCTCACATACCCTCTGCTGCGGCTGGGTAGCTGGGATGGGCAGGGGAAGAGGAGGAAGAGGTCAGGTTGAGCATGAAGGTTAGCGTAACCACACTGACAAGAGAGGGATGTGCAACAAACCCCCCCCAGTGAGGTCCCTGGCTGCAGACATCCCATGGTGCCTGTGCCATTTAGCTCCATGTCATGGTTTCGTTGGGAGGGAAGTGATCTCTGCCACGCTAGGCTTTAATCAGGCCCTTCTCGGGGGGAGGAGGGTAATCTCTCTTGGGAAAGCTAGCGAAGGGGGGACACCACACCAGCACAGGCAAGCATGCGCTGTACGAAGTGAGATGCCATCAGTTACCTTTGGTCATATCTTGAATTAAAAAGAACAGGGTGCTTTCTTTACCTCTCAAGTATTTTTTAATGTGCTTTTGACACATTGACAAGTAGATGTTATTAGGGTAAAAGTAATCATGAGCAATCACAAGCAGTTTGCTAATACCGTACACCTGTCTCAGCCCTGGGAACTAGCCAGAGCTGGGAAGACAAAAAACCCCAACAGACTTTCTACAAAGTTTCAGTTAGCTGTGAGGAATACACCAAGTCTGAGCTCAGATCTCTTTTGAGATTTTTTCCTGCAAATGATCCAGCAAACATTTTTGTATCTGTATTCCTACCACTAAAATCTCCTGCTATTAATGAATATTTACTGCAAGACTTCCCTAAGGTGGGTAACGGAGTAGTACCTGTGATTTCAATACTGTTTTCAGACACCATGGCTGAAAGTACCAGCAAATGGTCAGCTACAAGCACCTGTGTTAAGATTAACATGCACAGCCTGAGTTTACAGTTCAGGTTATCAGACTGTCATAATTCATAGAAAAGGAATCCAGCTACAGGCTTGGAAGAACTGGCTGAAAGGATCTGATGTTGAAAGGGGCCAAAAAGTTCTAACAGTAAAAAAATTTCTAACAGAAAAAAATTTTAATATTCTTCTAGTACTTAGTATTTCTTTAAAAGCAGGAGCAATTCATTAAGATGCTCCTTCTGCAGTGATGGGGTGGTGATTTAGAAGTGGAAGTTCCAGGATTCAGTATCCTAAGTTTTATCTGTTGAACAGAGATATGTCACCAAATATATTTTCTTGCTCCCACCTCCATGAAATTTAGCCCATCGAAGTATGCAGCGCTGCATTACTCACTGCCAGTGAAACTATATTAGGAGTGTGAAAGACATTCCTTTCATCTTTGCCCAGGAAAGTGTCTGGACCGAACTTCTTTGTCTGTTCTTTGCTACGTATTTGTAGTACTTTCTAGTAATTACATAGCTGGAGCCAAGCGCTGCTGTCCTTTCTCAGCCCTGTCCACTGGAGAAGGCAATCAGCACCTCAGCTACAGAAGGTAGTTCTCAGAAACGCTTATAGTGCAGCATTAATACAGTACAAGTAAGATTAAGGTTTGGGTCTGCTGAAGCTGATGGTGTTTCTATCAGACACAAGCCCTGAGAAGCCCAGAACTGCCATGGTGTCTTCCCCACATGGCTGCAGTCAGTGGCCCCATGCCTTTGGTCACTGCCTGGCCAACTGCAGCAGCAGGACTGTGGCAAACAGACATAACAAGCCACAAGTTCAAGCTTTCTGTTCCTTAGCTCTGGGAGATGCTGTCACCCTCCCTCTACTAAGCCTTTCACTTTACCTCTTTTCTCTGGCTGTATTACCCTCAGCTGTCCTAGACCCTGGCCAGCATTCTAATACAGATCCATCACTGGCAGGCCAGAGAAGTGCGCAAGCTTGTCTTAACCTCCACTGCCTAATGCTCAAGGGAATGCAATGGATGCTTCAGCCATCAAACCAAAGCTACTCTTCAGCTTTTGCTACCTCTGTGAGGTTGAACTTACTGATATCTTGACTGTTTGGGACAGAGTGACCTAGTGGCTTTCGCAAAGCCCTCTGCTGCAGGGTGAGAACTTGCCTTTGTGAATTCAAGAGTTGTCTGATGGTTCACCAGGTCTCTGGGAATAATAAAGCCTGGTAAGGAATTGACCCTTTCGGTTTGCAACATGATGTTAGGGTTCTTCTGAGGGAAACAAATAAAAAAACCTCTGAAGAAATCTAAACAAACTCAAAACCACCAGAGGAAATTTGTGCTAAATATTGAAGAGAAGGTTCACATGCAAAACATTCAGTAACTGAAAAGTTATGGCTCTCCAAGCAACAATAAGCTAGTTGACATGAAGTCAGGTTTGAAAGGTGCTCTTACCTCTCGGTTTGTATTTCCTCAAAGGCACAATGCTCACTGACTTAAACAAGTACCAAGGAAAGAATTGGCTGGGCCTCTGCACCGTGCTCCGCACCCTTGTGCTGGTCTGCATACACTCATGTACACCGCGAAATATTTCATGTGCAAAAGAGGCAGTGACCCAAAAAGAGAAAGGTGCTTGGGGAACACATGTGTTTGGGTTTCCAGACCTGGTCTATTTGGCTCTCCAGGCCTGACTTGCCTGCAGTCTGGACCAGTGGGGTGATCTGCATAAAGCCATCTGGGGTGTGCCAAGGCGCATCTCCTGGGGCGTGAAAATGCTGCCTGTCAGGAAGCGATTTGTCTGCGTCCTCCTGAAGTGGTCCTTCTGCAGCGCTGTGTCAGCCATGCAGAGGGAGACCTCCAGCATGGCCTCTGCTTTGAGATGCTGATTTGTGAGAAGGGCTGAGTCAGACACCTTGCTAAAGAAATGAAGGCTGAGAGAAGAACTGAAGAAGTGGATGCTGGCTGGTCCTTCCCTGTTTCCCTGATCTCAGGGAAATAAGGGGACGTCCCTGGGACTATTTCCCTGGTCCCACAGAAATAAGGGGAAAGAAAAGAGCTCAAGGAGTGGGACTTGAGAGGCGAAAGGTAAACCTGAGCTGTTTAAATGGCATAAGTAAAGTTAGGACAGGGCAGGACATGAATTTAGGAGATCACTCTTTGCTGAAATGTTAACAGAGCAAGGCTGGATCAAGCTCATCTGTACCCGCTGCTGGAAGTGGTGACAGTGACTCGCTGAAGCACATTTTCCCTCCGAGTCACAGATGACACTGTGTCCTGCTCAGGAGTGTCCAGCGACTGTGCAAGGCACAGTGAGTCTGTGCTGCATCCAGGCCTCAACATGTTCAAGAGCAAACCAGACACCTTCCCCTCTCCAAGAACAAAACCACATGGACGTGGACTGGGGCAGGCAGGTGTGATTATTTTATAAGGCTGTCAGACCACCAAGGAAATATTGCTCTGCCTTGACTCCCCTTGATGTGAGTGCTAGATTGGATTTGGCTACATTCAGGCTTTTTTCACCAGAAATTAGTTTTCTTTGATTCCAGTGAATTACACCAAAAGCTGAGAGAGTGATGAATTTTTGTTTAAGATCTGGTTGCCATGACCGTCATTTATGGTGCTACAATGTCTACAGGCCTCGTATAACCCCACCCCAAAGAGATCAAGATCCCAAGAGTCCAAACACATAGTGCGGACAGAGGGAAGTGAAATGACCTGGTGCAACATCTCCAGAGGGCCAGCACAGCACAACTGTCTTGATGTGCACCTCAGTGCTTCATCTGCCATTCTTAGCCTCCACTGTTAACGTTTGTAACACCGGTGTTTTCAAGCTAAGCCCTGTTCTGCTTAGTCCCACTGATTTTTGGACCTTAAGGGACATGAACGCCCTTAATCTGTTACTAGAAGTAGCCACAGAAGCAGTGCAAGTTGGTCATGTTGAAGCACACCTATATAGCATCAGACACAGATACCTCACTGTCAGATAATCCATCTGCGTCTCCCACCCCCTGGAGCTCAGGTGCCCACCAGAGGTGCTGTAGCATGTCGCTTTGCCTCTGGCAATTATCACTTGGAGACCACATGGATGAATAGGCAATGCAGGAGCATCATCAAACCTGACAAAAGCCAAACTTTTGCCCATATTGATATCACATCACTGCTGCCTCATGATTAGGGCATGAAGTACCTATATCAGTGCTGCCAGTTTTTCATTGCAAGGTGGCACATTCCTCCTAAGAAAAGCTGATGGTCAGTATAGAGCTTTGTGATGGAAGCTGAAGGCCTTTAGGAAAGTGGAGGAAAGCAGAGCTCTGCACCTCTGGAAGATCACAGCCTCCAGGGCACCCACCTCAGAGATGCTGTCCGAAGCAGCGTTTAAAAGTACATTTTGAAGAATAGATGAGCAACTGGAGGAAGACAGATGAGGAAGCAGAAATAAACAGGAGAGCCAGCTGGAGAGCTGCAGGAGGGGACGATGGGGTGACAATGAGCAGGTGAATGATGAGCAGGATGAGAGGGACTGATATGCAGCTGGGAAGGGAGGAGTTGAAGGGTCAGTATGGAAGGGCATGAAATGATCATCAGAAGGGAAACAGGAGGAGTGCTGTGAAAAAGTATTTTTTTAAAATGGGACAATTTAGGTGGTGTTTGGCCATGGCTACTGAAAGCAGGAAAGGCATTAGATGGATCCGCCTCTCCAGCTGAGGAAGAATGGCCACAGAGCATCACTCTGTGCTATGGATATGAGCCTGCATGGTTTTGAAATTTGGCTGGAGACCCATATGTTTTGCTTTCTTCCACCCCAGGGGGAAACCTTGCAGGACTACGTGGGGAGACGACAAAGCCAAGGGAATCCTTACAGCTTTTGCCTACCTTCTGCAACAGGAGAGAGCCTGAATACTTAGTCACAATAGAGTACAGCTCCCCACTGAAGGCATCTGCCCAAGACTTCACCCTAAAGAGAAGAGGGAGGGGAGAAGGAAAATCAGTGTTAGTAACTCAAAGTCAGCAGAACTGCTTACTTCTTCAGACAGCGAAAACTATCTTCTGCAATGTGAACCCCGCCATATTTCTCTAAGCCTCTGTAGTGAGAGTGATGATGTTTCTCCCCAGATTGCTAGCCAGACAAGCAGTAAGGCAGGAGGCAAGCGCTGCTTTTGGACATTCTGCCCAGGACATCACTCAGTGAGGAGAAACATTGAGTTTTCCTGGTCTTGGTCACTACATTTTGACTCAGGGTCTCACCTAACATGAGAGGTGCAAAAATGGTACCTTTGGTCTTAGGCATCACCTGGTTTCCTCTGTTGTTAGTTGTCACTGTTTAAAGCAGGGCAGCAGTAAACTGGGTGGCAGATGCTCGCTGTTAACCCCAACCCTCCCCCCAGGGAAGGGACGAAGGAGGAAAAGGTAGAGAGACTTACAAATTGAATATAAAACCAGTTTTACTAATAACATTAATAATACTAATAATATTAAGAGAAATAAAACAAAACACACAAAACCAACACTGAGTTTCCCAGGGTTGGGTGCCAGGCGCCGGTGTCCTGCCAGCAGCGGCCGGGCAGCCCCAGGCAGTCCCGGCTTGGCCT